AGAAATGCATGCCCTTTCTTGCCTCCTTCACACTCTGTCCTTTTGTATGCTGGACCATGAACACCAGCTCGCCTCATTAGGCTTAACCTTACAACCTGGTTTAAACTGGCGGGCTGATTCAGCAACACACACATGTTGTTATGCGGTTTTGACTCCTGCCTTGACCTCCCAAACAACGTTTGAAATACGGTTAAATGGCAGCAAACCATTATCTTCCACTAAATACATGATACCATTTTATTCTTTATGACACAAAATGACTTTACTGTTAACTTACCGAGGGGTAAACTGTCTGACCTCATATCATTCGAGATGACACCAGAAATCAGTATTGCTTTTGGATTGTGAAATAAAACATTGATACAACAATATATGCTTATAATGGAAAAAAAAATGGGGGTAGAATGCTGGCATGTTTGCACAGAAATACTGAATTTTACCCGATATTCACCTTTATATAGCTAAACTTTGATGAAGTAAACTTCGACCTTCGAGGGGTAATCTTGACCTCAAATCATTAAAATAACACCAGAATGCAGATTTACGGCCCAGAAAACCCCAAAAATGTGGTAGTTCATGTTATGTTCCTGGGCCTTTTTGTTTTTTTCGCGGTGGCAGCCATATTGGGATTGACCAATATGGCAGTACCGATGGGGGCCACAATCTTGGCACCCATCTTAAAATGATTAAGTACGGTATGGACAGACATCTGTGCCAGAATTTGGGCGATGTTGCGAGAATCTGAAACAAGACGGTCCTTTTTTCCCCCCTACGGGGCCCCCCAACTATATGGCGCGGACGTTGAGGATGACAGTTCTGGCATCACTCCAGGAGGCCGGCGGGAAGATGGGGGCATGGTGGCACCCCGAAAACGACCATGAGCTCTAACACTGCGAACTTTTTCTGGAGCTTGGGAACAGGGAACGTTCCAGCTCTCTCGTCGAGGAGAGGAGGCCTGTCAGGCCGCCCGCTTCTTCTTCCCTCCTCGCCTGTGGACTTGAAAACTGGGTCGTCGACTTCCTTTTTTTTTGTGCTGAGCGGCCGCTGCCCGAGCCGGAGATCTTCTGGCCAGCTCATCCTCCGGCCTTGTGCCTTGGGCTGGGGACCCGGGACGGCTGTGGATCTCTGCTGCTTCGCGTATCTTGGAACCGGGCAGAGACGGTGAGCAGCTGAGTGAAGGCCTGCCCGCGGGACGTTGGGGGGAAGGTGGTCCGGCTGGTCCCTTCGGGGGGGAGACAGAGCTGGAGAAGCCTCGTCTTCCTGGTCTTTTGTTGTTCCACATCTCAAGCCTGCATCAGAGCTATGAGCGGAGCCAAACTATGCCCTCGTCCGACCCGCCCCCGCGGGACAATAGGCATGTCCAGAACAAATCCTCTTTTTCCCGGTCTGGAAGGTTTCGTCGCAGGTTGAGACCACGCTGGCTCTCTCCTCGTACCACCCATAAATTCCCAGTGCTTTGCCCGTGGACTTGGACTGCACAAATGCTGCACACTGCGGAGGCAAATGTCCCATGATCGCTGCGATCTCGTCCCCACGGCAGGCTCAGGTTTGCTCGACAAGTCCTCGCAGAGCTCCGCCTGGTAGGCGGCTCAGCAGCGAGGAAAACGTTGAGATGCCCCTGGCCAGGTCTCGACATTCATAAACATGGCCCGCTGGCCCGGAAGCAACTATTATAAGACACCCCAGCCAGCATTAACGTACTTCCACTTGCCCGCTCGGGCACTAAAAATATTGCTTTAAAAAAAAGAATTGTGCCTGTGGTAATTGGTATTTTGATTGGGCAATTTAGTTAATTGTTTCGTTTATTAACGCTACACATAGCGTTTTGTGAGTCGGTTTTTTGGTGTGGTTGGGTGAACAGCAACAGCTGTTTGCTGCGGAGCGCAGCGGGAGGCCGGCACCCGTGAGCGTCGGGCGCGCTCCTTCACTACAGACTATCTGCGCCGCACCTAACCAATCTCGCCTAAAATTTTTTAACTTACCCGCGGTAACCCCCCCCGGCCCAAGCGCCGGGCAATAAACAATCCTTCAAATAAAGAAAAAGTCACGGGAGTTAAGGAGAGTGACAGGGAGTTGAAATGAAGAGGGAGGAAAGTTTAAGCCAGATTGCTCGATCTGGAGATTGGCTTCCTAGTGGTGCAGTGAACGCGTCCACTAAAACCCTTTTATAATCCTATCCATTAGATTTATGATTCGAAATTATAAAAGTAGGGGTAGACCATGGTGGAGATTAATCCTTCTGCTGAACAAAACGTGCATTTATGCAAACAGGTTTGTTTTCACACAGACCTTTATTTCCAGCTATTTTCCAAAACCCTGTGAGAGGAAATCCCATTGCTTTTGTCGAGGGACACCAGCAGCTTATTCCTGGTTTTAGGACGGTCGTCACTCCGCACTCTCAATATGAGCCAATATAAACACGGTCTTCTGTCGGCTCTGCACATTCAATGCCACCTATGCTGGCAAGTAAGTGAAGAGTAGAAAGATATAAACATAAAGGTATAGGCCTATAGGGAACCATGTCCAGAGTTTAGGATAATGAATGGTTCCTAATCTAATACCATAGCCACTTACAGTTTCTAACTCCTAATGACAGGAAGGCCGAAACGCGCGCATTATATAGTAATAGCCATAATACATAATAGCAGAAATTTTTTAAACACTGACACAATAGTCATTATTATTAATAAACCAAATATGACAATGTCGAGGAAAACTTATGATATCAAATGTTGTAGTACAAAGTAGTATGTAGTTCTGTGAATAAAATTGCTAATTGCAGCGACAAATGTGTTAATTTTCTTCGTTATAAGAGATTCGACTTTATTTGGACGAATGCTCCGGCCAGTGGTGTACAATGGTGGCCAGTGATAATAGCGAATTCACTGGCCCGTTCCGTCATCGCTGACTGAGAAACCGGTCTGGCCGGTTTGTGCCGGATACGCGTGGGGTTCCTGCTCGGTGGTCAAAAGCCAGCCTCGATTTGAGGTTGGTTGCCACCAGCGGTTCCCATGGGCGGCATGCGGAGCCCCGCCATACCCTCGACAGTCCAGGGAGGAGGCACCCTGGATATGGGGCCCCTTGTTACTGAAAGGGCGGTCTCGCCTCCACGAGACCGACACTCGTCCGCAGCTCTCCGGAACAGAACTGGAAGTGAGCTGCCTCTTCGTCCCTCGGCGTGGCTTGGGGCAATTGCTCCCCTCGTAGCGAGATCATGGAAGGTCTCCTTGGCCACTTCAGGCCATGGGATGTCCACCTGGACGCAGCCGCGGTGACACCACGGCCTGCAAGTGCATACTTAGGGCCAGAGGGAAGCCTTGTAGTGCTTTCGCCCGGGAGAGCGGCTACGCTCCCCGGCTTTGCAGCCGTGGAGGAGGGCCCGATGAAACGAAGAATGTTCATCCGAGTCGGACAGGAGGAACTCAGAGGCATCCTCTGGTCTTCTTCCTGTCCATATAGTCCCACAACTCCAGGACAATCCTCCGCGGGTGGAACCTGGTGAAGGTCCCAGGTTGGGAGCCCCAGCTTGGACACAGCGCGGGCTCCGCTCTCAGCGGTTCTTGCCGCCAGACCGGACCCCCAGCCGTGACCGGCGCGGGCTCCGGTTCAGCGGCTTGCCGCTATTGAGCCCCCAGCCTGACACAGCGCGAGGCTCAATCTCTGCGGCGGACGCCACCATGTCTTGATTGCCGGCCGGCGAATCAGCGGACATGAGGGGGTCCTGTCCCGACAAGCTAGCTTGGCGTGCTAGCCGTCGGCAGAGGCTCTTAATGGTGAAGCGGGCACAATGCCCGCACGAGCCGGGGTTATCGATAGCCTCCTGGGCGTGTTCCAGCCCGAGGCAGGACGAGCAGACCTGGTGTGAGTCTGTGCCTGAGATCTTAAACCCGCAGCCGCATAGCCGAGCCTCCGAGTCCCTGACTCCTCTGGTGTGAGGGAGAGAAGGGTCCATCTTTGTTCGCCGGGGTGTCGGCGTGGAGTGGATACGCTAGTAACAGGTACGTTACTGAGAAAAAAATCCAACCTTGTCGTTAATCCGAAAGGAAAAAGCGACGGTGTAGATTTGATTCTTTAAAGAATATTAACTGGTGTGTTAATACCTTCTGTTTTTATCTCCGTCTCCTCTGGTGTGAGAGAGAAAAGAGAACGTCCTCGCTACCGTGGTGTCGGTGTGGAGGGAAGAAAAGCTAGCAACAGGTATGTTACTAGCTTGAAGAAAAAATCAAACCTTACCGTAATTTCGAAAGAAAGAAACGTCGAGGCAGATTACAATATTAACTGGTGTGTTAATATTGTTCAGTCTTCTTGCAAAGCAAAAAAGTAACCAGCAAGCGCCCGTCGACCGAATGTTAGCTTTGGGTTCAGTCTGTGGACCGTTAAGCTAGCCCGGCTACTGATAATTCGAGATGTGCTCTGAAGCGAGAAGAGGTGCTTGAATGACGCTGCGTTGTAACGCAAGCTACTTATAGGGCGGGTGGATTCCCTGACGTAGACGTCAAGATCACCAGCCGATCAGGATTGGCGTAATGAGATTGATGCTTCTGTTTGCATACGCGTTGAGGCGCATCCCATAGTGAGACATCGAACGGAGTGTTATGAATGAGAACAGAATTTTCGGAAATGTCACGTTATTCCTAAAAGAGGTGTTTATCCTTGTTATTTGTAAATATTAAAAAACAAATATCCGGCCAAATGTAATTATTGGATGTCCTGACCTGAACTCGCAAAACAACGTGTCATTATTTTGGCTTTGAGTTTCTGAGATATTTGTTTCCGTCACTGACATCGCAAGAACATCCACCCGGTGCCCAAAACAAACATTAAAAAGGAGACAAATATTGATACAGAACAACTTATTTCGCATTTTTTAATTCATAATTTCATTTATTTTTCTAGACCTTAATCTCTATACTTGCACTGAAAATAATTTCCAAATTGGTATTGGACCATCTATGGTCGCAGGCAAGCTAAATGAACACAGGAAACAATATCACAGTTAGGTCAATGGCAAAGGGTCTAAAATAAAGTTTTAAAAGAAATGTCATTTAAAAAAGGTCCTGCACATTCACACAGGTGTTTTTAACTTATCTCTAATTAGACCTAATCAGGCAAAGTGAAAACACCTGTGAAAGGTATGAATAAACTTTCAAAACACAGCCAATGACAGCAATAGTCTTAGAATTTTTTTCGGGGGGAATTTCCAAAACTGTTTGGAGATGTTGGAATTGCTGTAACCAGAGAATCATATATTTGTCATACAGTGTGTGTAAAGTCATTGAGCATGACTATGGGAGGCTAAATCCAGCAGTCTGCTGTACAGTCAAGCTAGCATTGGCACAACTTAACCTAGCGTATTTTCTTAGTTAAACAAACCTGCAGCACATGCATACATGCATTCGCTCAATGAAAGGAACATAAATGATTGGTTTGATTTCATTGTTTGTTTGTTTTTGGATGGATAAAAACATTCTCATGGCACGACTTCTTCCATGAAATTGATGGGGAAAAGTAGTGTTCCCTTACTTCATTACCTTAAAAAATGAACCTAAAATGAATCTTGAGGTATGTCTCCGAGACCAAAATCATGTCAGACGAAACCATTTATCGTTATTGAATTGATACCACTGAATGAAAACAAACCACACTGTCATCATTGGATCAGTACAACACGCTAATGAGGCATCAATGTCATATGATATCTCCAACATGGAGTTTTGTGAAAGATCCCGTTGCATGAAGTCTTTTCTCATGTTCCGTTTCAATCACTTCCACGAGTCTTCTCTCTATCTGTGTGGATGTGCCAGGCGTCTCGCGGTTTCCCCAATATGGGAAAGTTTGTCTCGACTGTTGCTAGGACAAGACTGATTCCTTTCCTACTTATGACTCACATGTCTGGGTTATTCTGGACTGTTTTTTTATCGTTCGTCGCCCTGAGCAGCATTTCCTCTCCCTCGCTCTCTGTTTCTCTCAGTGTCTTCTCCCAGCATCCTTCAGGTTCAGGATCCAGAATCCTCGGGTTCTCAGTTGAAGCCTAGGCCCGTTCCTTTGGGTCTCTGCGTGGCCCGGACGGGTTCGGTCATGCCCCTGCCCTCCGGACCCAGGCCCATCCCCGGGCTCCAGCCCATGCTCTGCATCATGCGGCTCCCCATGTTAGTGTCAGGGAGGGGGGGTGCATTCTCCCCCACCACTACTGAAAGGAGAAGTTACAGGTTAGAAAATAGCGAGTTATCGACATATCGTTTGTAGGTGTACATATCTAAAATAGAGTTCCTGTTTTTGTTATTCTAAATGGGTCAGTTTTGTAGACATTGGCTCTGGTAACTTGTTATAAGAAATGAGAGAAAAGACACTGATATATATCCAATTTCTTTCCAGTATATGAAAAACGACAGGACTCTTAACCAAAAAGTCTTTTTTTTGGTAAATTCATTAACCAAAAGATATTCATACTGACGTTGTGTTGCTTTTTTTTTTTACAACCAAATCTTCATTTTCTGTTTTTTTCTTCTGTTCCTACATTATTCCAGGGGCCTGTTCTGTTGTTGCAGACTGAATGTTCCTGTATAATAATAAACTCTGTATTCAAGAACATTTAAAACTCATCTTGTAGATTAGTCCTGGCAAAATAGAACCGTACCACTTTTCCTTTATGTATGCAGCAGCAAATGAGTATGACGTGTGGGTTGATTTGCTTCTCTTCACATGCACGACGAATGCGCACATCGCAAAGTGGATGCTGTAGCGTTGTGCCGTGCAACCTTAATGGACACGTTAATTGACTAATGGAGATTCTGTCTGCCGTCTGGTACTGCCGCTAAATAAAAGCGCACGCATGTCTGTTTCCAAACAGACTAGTGGGTCGACCTGTTTGCCCGTTTAATCCCGTCTTGATTCATGTGGAGCGCAGGTCAAAGCCGCACGCTCATTTACTCAGACGATGGTTGAAATTGTCAGGAAGTGAATTTGGCAGGACATCGCCGTTGCCCCCCTGCTGCGAGTTTAGCGACCTGCTGTTCATCAGACCTACATCCGGGTCTGGAGCGAGTACCAAGTGCTTTGGACCATAAAAATAAATATATAATACATGAAACTACAAGGTGTCATGAGCCAAATGATGCTTAAATAATAATACATGGATCAGACTCTATATATTATAATGGGGGTTACATTTTTTGCTATCTCTCCCCTCCTCCTCCAACTGGCCCAGAGGTAAAGAGAGTGGTTTGGGGGGAGGGGGAGTGGCCTGATGCACAAGTGTTACAGGCTAAGAGCTAATCCAGTATCTCGGCTCTGACAGCATGACTAGCCAGCTGACTCTTGTCCAACAAAGCTTAGGAGGAAAGGGGTTTAGGAGCAAAAGCGCCATTTAATAATGAGAGAGGAGGAGAGGGAGCAACACGAAGGCTGAGGGACTCCCTTCTCTCTTTTTAAAGATGCGTAGTGAATCCCTCATTTTTCATCCCCGTCCCCCGTGTTTACATCAGTGTGTGTGCAAGACAGAAGGCAACGAGGAAAGCAGGCTGGTGGACATACTGCGCTCAACCAAGAGGGGGAGGAGAAACAGGCGAGAGCCAAAAATACGAAAACGAAAACGTGGTAAAAAAAAAAAAAGAAAAAAAGTGCCAGATGGTGCGTTAGGTGTAGCTAGGTCCAATACCTGGGGGGGCGGTGGAACCGAGGGGGGCTGCTTTTCGCCTCCGCTTGACATCCCCTGTACACAGAGAGCCCAGGTGCCCGCTGGTCTGTCTGCAAAACCAGCCAAGCGAGACAAAAATATGTGGGCATTAGTTGAGCTCAAGTAACACAGTGGAAATTATTCTTCCTCATTTGAAAAAAAAAAAATACCCGTTGTGAAAACCAATGAGGAGTTATGTCGATGAGACTGCAGCAGAAACAAAAGGCAGGTACTAAAAAAGGAAATGAGTTGGGCGTTTCTCTCATAAATCACTGACGTTTTTCTCAAGTGTTGTTCTCACCTGCTGGCTGTTTTCACCGAACAGCTCCTCCGATGCCCTCTGTCTGACCGAGAGTCCCAATGCAACTGGAGTGGCAGTAAGGAAAGGGAGGGGGGGTATTAAAGTGAATGCTCAAGCAGGTAATCCTTGCAATAAAACTAAGTAGTGCATTTAACAGCAACCACCAAGGACAGTGCTATAGATCAAAATGTTAACTTTGGGGGAAAAAGAAACTCACCTGTCCGTGCTCTCTCCTGGAGCCCGAGCTGAACCAAGGCCTGTTGGAGATTTAATAATAAATTAATAATGTAATTGAGAGCCATCAAGGCTGCCTTCCACAGACCGAAACCAAACTGCTATTAATTATCTTGTCGTAAGTGAACTGCTGGCCCTCGTCCATCACAGAAACTTTTAAAGAAACTTAAGAACCTTTAAAAACGTTATCTCGGGACAACCTTTGTTGTTTGCTTTTCTATTTTATTAATACTAATCCAAGATATTTAGTTTTTGTCTGGAAACCAAATTTGTGTCAAGGCCAATCAAATCTGAATTTTGCTACCTTTCCCAGCCTTAACTTCTTCTTTTTGTCATAATTTAAAATGCAACTCCTTGTGCTACAATCCTTTGAGTAGTTTAAAAACAAAAACCATGAAAAACAAGTACAATAATACAAACTTTAAAAGCATATATGTAAAGTATAGAAGATGAGGACTCACTCGTGGGGGTCCTGGCTCTGTCTGCCCAGCCGGTCGTTGAAGCTCTGTCCGGAGCTGCCTGCCTGGGGTACATGCTGGTTACTATGGAGACGGCTCAGCCTGGCATGGAACCCTGAAGAAGGCAGAGCAAGTCGTCAGCAACAAAACTCAGCATGTTCATTATTTTAAATGATAAATCAGTTTGATAATGTTCACAATTAAGTAAATCACAGTCCTTTGGGATACCTATGTTTATATTTTAAAGGGCTGCAGGAGTTGGAAATAATTATTACTTGCAGTTATTTTAACAATAACCGCAAGTAGAAATTCAATGAAGTACTTTGTGTCAGTAGATTTCCGTTAAGAATGTGACTCTCTGATGTTGAAGCTATTTCAGTGAAACAATGCCGTTTTGAACATTTGACAGATTATTATAGGTTATTTTAACTGGTATTGCAATTACGATATGAATTGTGATATCAGACATAGCGATATATGATCATTTTTGAAACATTTACAGGATGTGCAAGTCTATTGAATACCATTTGTAGGATAGGAGTTTTCTGCAGCTCCATGACACTTCTATCAGAATGAAAACTTGCATATTTTGCCATAATTCAATTTGAAATCAAATGTCAATCAATTAAGCAGCCATACATCAGTACACAATACAGTGACCACAGAGAATGGACACTGGGATGTAAAACAAATGTCTTCTTTGTTGCTTACGATGGGGGATTTTACTTCCTATATCTACTATCAGGGTATATGCAGGAATCCTGAAGTCAAATGTAATACCTTTTAAGACCTTTTCTAAGACCCTTTCCATACATTTTAAGACCTCATCGCCACTTTGAGTTTTAACCGTTTACATTGGCGACACACTTTACCTCAGATTTACTTTATACAGTATTGATTTTCCTTCCTCCTTATCTTCCAACCATTTGGACCCCAACTTGCATTCCCCCATAACGATGTTGTTTAACAACCGGCGTAAACGGACCTCCGCGCGCTATCAAGCAGTGAGCGTGCGATGTCCTGTTCAGATGACGTCAAATCCAACGGGATTCCATAAATAAACTACACAGAATCACAGTACACACCTACGCAATGATTACATTCAGGCACACTGTAGAATACAACCTCTTTGGACAATTTATATACTTATTGAAAACAAGTTACAAAATGTAATACCTTGGAAAATGCCGTTTGATCATTTTTAATGGTCTTAATTTTTGCTAAATTGATTTTTCAACTTTTAATACTTTTTAAGACCCCGTGGAAACCCTGACTATACAACAACACTTTATTGGCAAACTGCTAAACATTGATTTGTGTTTGCCTCCTACTGGTCATGAATGAGACTGCAACAATAAAATGTGTGTAACTGTACCTAATCCAACCAAATCACTCCTGTTATCTACATATTAAAAGACATTTCATTATAGTTCGTCTGAGTTTCTTAAAAACAGGTTACCTCTCTGTCCTCCAGGCCCCATGAGGGGGAAGGACCCGCTGAGGATGCTGTTGAAGACGGGGTCAGTTAAGTCCAGCTCCTCTGAAGCCGTCTCCCTCTCCCACCAGGGGACCACCCCCGCTATCCCGCAAGCCCCCCCGGGAGCTGAACCGGAACCCGGCTCACCTTCAAAGAACCAGTCGCTCTGCTCGTCATCAGCTGGAAGAGAGACCAACATGTGACCATGGTTTTTATAAAAAATATAAAAAGGAGTTTTTGACCAATAATATTAACATATTGGAGTTTGTACCTTGCCTCCCCTCATCGTTGGTGTAGAGGCCTCCGTCACTGCTGTTACTGACACTACTGGTCTCACTGAAAAGGAGAGAGAGGAAGATGGAGATTTAGGGAAATAGCATACCATACATTTCACCATAAACAATTGTTGATTCAAGAAACACAAGCTAGCTTACACACAGTGTGGGGAATTGAGCAAAGGTTTAGGATTAGAATGCCAGTAAGCTACCTCAGTTTACAATAGATACCAAAATATCACTTTTTTGATACATTAAAATATGGTTTTCTACAGTCAATTTTCCTCAATTAATTAAGAGAAGCCAATGTTTTATGTTTTTTTAAGAGAATGAGCAGTACAAGTGCATCAACCGAGAAATCTTAATTTGGCAACATTTAAAATCAGGATCTTTCCGGTTGGTAAGGAAACAAGACGTTAAAAAAACTGACCGAATATTCTATGTCAGTTTTTCAGAATTGACTGCTTTTGATATTCAGCGAAGGAAATTAATTCCCGTCCAAATAAAAAGTGTGGCAGTTTGCAAGCCCTACACTGTACACAACACGGTTCTCATCAGCCGTTGGCCTACACACACATACCTATGAACACAGAATACAGCAGCAGAGACGGAGGAGTGGAAACTTCCTGGGAATGAATAAAAACAAAAGCATATACACTAACCACCTGTCACTCATGTCCTCATCTGAGCCCTTCTGCTCCTCCAACTCCATCTTGTCCTTGGACCCTTCTGTTGGAGAAGAGATGGGGTCCTCACTCTCCACCACCACCCCTTCATCTGCAGCCTCCATCCCCAGTCTGTGGGGGGCCATTTTCCTCTTCTTCACCCTGTTCTTCCCTCCCCCAGGCCCCATCATTCCACCTCCATACAACTCCATAGGCCCCCTGCCCTCATTAGCACCCATTCTATGCGGCCTGGCACCGACACGGGCTTTGGGGACAGGCGGGGGCCCTAGCATGGTGCAGGAAGGGGGTTCTGGTTCTGCAGGGGGGTCTACCGCCATACGTTTGACCTTTCGTCTCCGCCTGAGGCTGCGAGTTCCCTCTGAGGACCCCAGGACACCCAGGTCGTCCGGCCAAATCGGTCGCTTGCTTCGTCCTGTTTCTGCTGCGATGAGGGTGCGCCGTTTGGGGCCAAGTTGTTCATCCGAGTCGCTGTTGTCACGGGCATGGCTGTTGGCAGCCGAGACCCCCCCTGTACTGGCTCGGTAGTCCTGCAAGACACGTCAATGTGGTTCATATCAGAAGGTGACTGATGCTAAATTGGGAACACATTTGGATTGTTAATACCCCCAAAGCTATACGAGTAAGCATAAAAGACAGATTAAAACAGAGGGAAACCTTGAAGTGATTATGTGTTATGTTTCAATACAGTAAAGAATACTTAAAACTGCAGGTAATCTGTACTAATTGGGCAATTCCAACTTTATGTGGAGACGAGCAGTTTACGGTTTCTAAAGGATCAGATCAGATTAAGGTTTCTCTGCTTTGGTGGGATATCTATTTGAAAAAAGGGAGAAAACTGTGAGAATAGTATGAAAAATGTGTGCTACTAGATCTCTGATATTACAGTGATTTGAATTAAAAAATATATACTTTTTCTATCTCGAGTGTAACATCTCAAGTAGATCAGCATATTTGATAGTTGATCTAACTTGTATGATTCATGCACTTTTTGGGCTTTATACCAGTCACTTCCCTCATGGTTGCTTTAACAATGATAATAGTTTTGGCTACTTTTCCCATTTTTTGCACTTGAGAAACACAGGGTGAGCAACGAAACAACATTTATGGACATCTGAAGTGTTTTACTCAAGCACCTTTTACAGGGAGCGTTTTTAGCCTAAAGATCTATGTGTAAATCAATGCCCTCCATCCACTCACCTTGTGTTCTTCCACGCTGGACTCTGAGCCCTCACTGAGGTGGCCTGCCTCCCACGGCGGGTGCGGGTTGTCCGAGCGTCGTTTCCTGCCTCTACGCTTCCGAGCCTGCCTCTTCAGCAGACAGCCCACAGCCAGAGCATGGTCTCCTCCATCCCCGAAACCCCCACGGGCAGCCTGCTCAGAGCTCTCCTCCAGGGCTGACACCAGGTCATGGACCAGCTCGTCCATCGTCCGGCTAAAGTGCCTAAAGTTGAGGCATAGAAGGAGATACTGGTTAATACATCTTGTCACATGCTTGGACACTAAAAATCATTTAAGATTGAGTTTTATTGAAGAGTCAGCAGAGTCTGCAGGACAGCCAATAATGCTGTTGAGATACATATTTTGACAGCAGGCATTAAAAAGCTATACATATAGTCTATGGTAAAAGGGTATTATTAGTGTGTGTATGTAGGAATGATTTGCAGATTTGCAGATTGTCATTGAAGGAGGAGGCGACAGATAAGTATGGGACCATCATTGTCAAGCAGATTAACGTTACTTAGCTTAGCTGTTTGACATGAGCAACTATGAAAAACACGTTAGCAAGATGGCTAATTCTTCAAATTTGACACACAAAATCGATCCCTTCTCGTCGAGCAAAGTTGGATGCAACACAGGATGAGTTTTCGGCGTAATACTTACGCTAACAAATAGTCAGCTCTGATTTAACTGCCTGTGATGCCGCTTACAAAATGCTCTGCAACTACCACCAACATTACTCCTCTTTAGTTAGCTGTTTTGCTTGTTATTCTTTAGCTGTTTAAGCTACCGTTTGCAAGCTAAGTCAATTTACGTTACAACAAACTTCCATCGATCACTTAAGATAACTACACAACCACAGCAAAGAGCTTATATTCCCATTTATAAATGGTGGTATTTTTAACTACTGTCCTCAGAAGATAAACAACAATGTCTATATAGCAGATTATATTTGATGCTAGCTAGTTAGCATTGCTAGTGTTAGCTCTCTAGCTGGCTCATTCACGAGAGTTGAGTGGACGTGAACAATATGTTACGTCTCAGTGATTTCAAAGACCACCTACCAGCCGGTTCCCGCTTTGCCGATGGTTGTTAGATTAGCTGCACGGTACATTAAAGCCCCCAAATGCCAGATACCATTAGCCAGAAACAACTGACAAACATTTAGACACCACAGACATCATCCTGACAAAAAAGCTAACGATCAGCTAGCTGGATCAATATGCGACAAGAGGAGGAAAAGCAGCAGAAGGTATTGTGTTGCCTTCAAGTGCTGCATAAAAAAATGATGTTGGCATTGTGCACAGCCAAACAATTACAATGTCATAATAATAATGATCCAAATAATAATAATATATAATACAAATATGCATTTCATCACTATACAAAACAATTGAGAGCATCAACAACAAAAAAACAACAACAATGTATTTTGATTTAATTTATTGTAATTAAAACACTTACAACAATTCTAAACCCAAACTTTTTATTATTAAGGCTAAGATGCATTTTTTTTGTAAGTTGATCAAAATAGGCCTTTTTTGTAGTAGCCTATATGTGACTCAGAGGATTCAATTAGTCTCTGGTTATATTTAGTTGGATTTTTCTACCACAAACCAACACATGAAGTTTAAGAACTTTAGTAAGTCCTTGTAAATCGGAATTTCAATATAGCAAGTGAAGGCAACTTCAGGCCCTAAATTCCCATTCTACATGCATTTCCCTTTTGTGAACACTTGATGGCAGTGTACACTCACATTGAAAAGGCTTCACGTCAGCCATGGTGGCTAGCTATCAGCTGGCCTATCACATTTAAACCAAAGGTCACCAGTTCAAACACATCAGTGGCAACGGCGTCATATCCATGACAGCAGTCACTGGAAGAGTCCCCGGGTACCAGGGAGACTTGGACTTCAGCCCATGTGACAGGTGCTGATATGTTCTGAATGTCAGTGACGGCCTGTGCTCTACATGGGGTCAACAGCAACAACAGGTGTCACAGTCAGTGTTAACTAATGAGAAATGCACACATTGAAAAACTGTCAGGCATGCTTAGAGGGAGCTCTCTGCCAGGGTAATTCAACTTAAAGTCAACTTAGACGAACATTCTGAGAAACAATCCTAACAGGTGTCCCGCCCTCCTCAAGTCCTTAAGAAGTCAGATGGTGTGATGGACGATGACCACTCTGTGACAGGCTCAGATTTCTGACCAGGGGGCCCAGGTAAAATTATTAAGACCCTGTCCACTTGCACATGACAGTCAGACACTTGACATGCTCACAGTGTGAAGACACGAGTCCAAGACTTGTGGAATTTTATACATAAACGTCTGTTTAGAGATACCAAAAAACAGAAAACTGCAACTGGGATTAAAACACAATGGAATCATGATATCAGCAGAGGATGAAGAAGAGTTTGATGAAACTGCGGAGAACTTTAGCACTGACAACACATGGAGCTGGGTAAAGTAGTTTTTAAATCATCTGCATATGTGGATAAAACAGCATGAATTATGGGTAAAATAGATTGGATTAAGAACAATTAATGTATGTTAAAGTCAAAATGTTTGTGATTGTACTTTTATATGCCTGTAGTTTACAGAATGAATGGAGAGTGTATTCAAGCACGTGTGTTTATATCACCACAGAGGAGGAATAAAGGCATATGTTTCATCATTTAAAACTAATTTTTAATTAAATCTGAACCCTAATAAAATAATTAGACTCATATCTGTAGCATTTTAATGTGTAGAGTCATGTAGCTGGTTCTTAGGACAGCAGAGATAGTGAGACCCGAGATATGTATCTCACTAATCCCCCCTGTAAGGCGATCTGCTCTGACTCAACTTGGGGAGAAGCAAAAAGGGGGTGCATGGGGGAACATGAAGGTACAGGGATGAAGCGAGCTGGCAGGACAGCCTGATGGATCAGGGAGTCTTCTCACCTCTGTGGATTTCTGAGATTTAGTTATTTGTTAAGAAGGGATTCCACGTTGCATGAGACCAACATGTTTCAAGAAAATTATACCTTGAAACTTACTAGGTGGGGTAAAAATTAGGAGATATCTGCGGTAGTTAGAGAGTATTGTATTAATTTTAGACAAGTCATTCATAAATATAACATCTATTGCTTTGTTTTCTGCAATTTATAACAGCAACAATGTTTTGCCAAAGAGTATGTTCTACACTCATAATCTCACTTACTAAATTCCAGCTAATGTTTCTGTCCGGTCTCATGACTCTCAGACCACAATAGCCTGATCCAATCAGAGAGCTCGATATCAAGCAAGTGTGCAAAAAGATTATGCAACGAATGTGTTAAGGCGATGTGCCCCTGCTGAGTCAACGGAAATGACATCCAAACAGAATGACCAGTTTTTTAAGGAACATTGTGAGGAGTTACTCAACGTTGTGGTGAATCATTCATTTCAAAATGATTGTCAGTGTTATTCCATTGCATTGCATAAAGTTGCAAACATTTAACCTGGAAGCAGGCTGTGATCCCTGGCTATGATTTTTTTTTAAATGAGTGAGGTGTTGGCTTGATTTTTCTCCCCCAGATTCTAAAGAATATACTCCAAAAATCCCTTACCTATTTTTGACAAGTATAAAAACATAGAGTAAAGAAATGGTTGCCCTGCTGCGGTATCATGGTGCAAGCAGTCAGCTCATAGCCTCCGACTCTTAAATCCTTAATTTAAACTTGTGTGAAGACACTCCCCCAACAAGAAAGGGTGGGTTTTTTTTGTTGCAAGGCTACATAAGGTCAACCAACAGGTAGCATACCAAATTAGGCCACTTATACGTCTATGTGAATGCATGAAAAATAAACACTCAATATATTTGAGGGCTCTGTGTTGTCGATGTTTTTAGTTTTTCCTCTGTTGATGACTGTTGCTGATGGTTTAGTGAGTCTTATGTCAACTTGTTTGTGGTAGCCTGATAGGGGTCACTGTCTGCACCGACCATACATGAAATTGCTATCATATGCTGTTTCGTGTCCAGAGTACATCGGCTGTGCTCAGTTCTTCCTGGCAGGGCAGCTCATTCTTAGAAGCTGGTCTTAGGCCAGCTGCAAGGCTCATATATCCTTTAGCAAACTCAGTAACACTCACAGAATGACGGATGTCTGCAGACTTAAGAGTGTCAGAATGGGCTTACCAGTGCTACAGTTGTAATACAGTATGTATCATGCGTACAGTTATTACAGGACTATTACTGGATCTTATTTGTAATTGAATGTTACATTTAAAAAAAAATGTAAATGAAGTCCATGTTGTTATTTTGTTATGTGAAACCTTCAGGGTCGCACATTAGGAAGTTGTTTGGTACACTGTCAATTATGAATGCAGTACTGTGATGAATTAACTTGTAGCTGCAAAAGAGAGAAGTGCTTCCTTAGAAATGAGGGAAAAGGCCAGTCTGAATGAGAGATTAAAGAACACACATTTTATATATTTCACTGGAAATCCCTTACATTAAACGTGGTTAAAGGACAAAAGTGTAAACCACATGATGGTACATTTGACGTAACTTATTATACAGTAAAAGGAGGCACCAATCTATACATTCAGGAAAATGCTTATAGTTCACGTAAAGTCATTTTACATATTTGATCGAAACACATTATGTGACTTAAAGAGCACAATTATGACCTAATGGTATCCCAATTCAAGTTAACAGTGTTTTTTGTGTGAACTTGCATTGACATTCTGCAAGCAGAGCGCAGCAGTGAGATGGTAGATCTTACAATATTTATTTCATAGTTTAAAAACATAAGTTGGCAGAATTGGCAATCTTTTTTATCATTCAAATTTGGCAGGGTTGTTATGAACCAGGAAAACAAATATCTAATTTTCAGACTTTAATGTCAGCTGTGGCTGCAGGTCGGTGTAAGTTCAGCAGGTCACTAAACAAATTTCTCAGGCAATACACTGGTGGTGAAACTGAACATGCTGAACCTGCATGCAACATACACACAAATAGAAACACACACACACACACACACACACACACACACACACACACACACACACACACACACACACACACACACACACACTGAAGTGGCGCTTGTAGATGAGCTGCTGTAGTGAGGTCTTCCATGAGGAAACTCTGAAAATGTCTGTCAAAAATGTTGGCTGTGTTCCAACTTACACACAGGTAGATAAATAGAAAGTAACTGGCAATAATGTAACTTGTAATGCCAATACAATTTATTTCAATGTTTTATATATTTGCTCAGTGTTATCAGGTTATTACCTATTAAATAGGTCCTATTTGGTGCTTCTTAGCCTATTTAAGTGTGCGTCTGTGCATTTGAAATATGCCTCGCTTTTATTAATACAAGAACAGATTTAGCTGGTGTTGAGTTCTTCAAAATTACTCCACCAGTTAACCACATACTCCTGACACACCGTTTCACTACAGGGTCTCAGACTACACATGGCATGTCCTATGAAGCAGGCCTGTGATTGGTCCGAAATATCACCTCACTGCAGCAGACTGGGAGACTTCAAACGATGACGTAGATCCACGTTTTCCCGCCGTCATAACACACAGTAGCTGCTGCTTCCTCCAGAGCTCTTTAAACTGAGACATTGTAGCGTGGTAATGTTGTTCTTATTTATCATTTAACATCTCGTATACATTTTTCACATGAATAACATAAACCATAGGTTATATGTTTTTGTTTTAGACAGATTGTTGCCCTATTTCACAAACTTTTGAATACACTAGGCCTATGACAAGTTTATTGTGGACTAATGAAGCATAATGTGTGGCTTTTGTTTTCACCTATGGTTTTCACGTACAATAATAACCAAAAAAAACGAATTCTGAATAGAAATAATACATTTGACGCAACCATGTAACTGTCAGGAGAAATGTAAACAAGTAGCTGTAATCGTGTTGCCACTGTGGCAGCTGAAACGATGAGTTTGGCAACTCAACGGCTCGACGCTGATTGGTCAGCCGGCGGGTTTGATGTGCATGATGTCATCCTCTGTCGAGCCTTGCTGCTGAGAGAGCGAGAGAAACAGAGGCGGTCAGAGGCAGAAATTAGTATCGCGTTGACTTAATAGTCCGTTTTTTCTGGCTGTAAGTCGGTGACAGCAAATCGAGGGCTTATAAAACACTCAGACATCACCTCTACCAGGGAAGGAGGCTCCTGTGATGTGTTGTTGAGCTGTCATTCACCGCTGTGGGAACGGCAGGCTCAATGTGCTGGTAAAGGCTGTCAGCATATCAGCTATAGAAGGTAGGAGACTGCTTTATAATGTATTTGAATGCACCTGCCTGTATGTGTCATTTTCATTTGTGTTATACTATATCTGTTACTACTGCTTTTTACTCATTTTATTTTGGCTTCTCGTCACTTGTAATTTATTTCTAACATGATCGATTTGCACTGTCAGGATATTGTGAGTCAGCTTTTTACCTACATCTATTGGATTTGGATTGGAAGTCCCTTTAAATGTGTGGATGAGTTGGGAAAATTGTAGCAGATTGGTGTTAGGTAATGTTGTCTGTATGCATATTTTTAATTAAACTCCACTCATCACCTATCTGCTAAAGGTCGAGGATTTTATGTTCTTAAATGATTATAAGGGGTGCACATAATATTGTGATGGATTATGTGAGTGTAGTAGTATGAGTACAAAAGAAAGACAATCTCTGTAAAACCTTATCTGCTGAGTGTCCCAACCAGAAACCAGCCTGCAAGGAAACAGCAGATTGTAAAACCGTTAAACCAATGACCACACCACAGTTAAACATAAAACACTGTCTTTTTTTTAAATAGGATTTCCCAAGGGCTCAGTTACTAAACTTTCTTTGAAACCATGCAGTTCTGTCAGTGTTCCTCTTTTCATCTGTAAAACAAGAAAAAGTATTTTTGGATGTGGCATTGTTCACACAAAAAGTCTTGTGCTTTGAAAATCAGCTTGTTCTGTAACTACATGTCTCAGTGAAAGCAGAAATGAATATTTAAAGAGAGTTAAGGTCATCTATAAGCGGAATTTCAAGACTCAGACATTGTTATGGCTCATCAGCTGCTCTAAAAATAGCTCTCCTGTTCTTCTGCAAGGAGTCTGTTCTAGTGTTCACATACTCAGAGGGAAGGGGGGATATGGTGGCATTATTGTTTTCTGTTGCTGCAACATTTTGGGGGCCCAGTGCCAACTAAGTCAAGGGCAGACCCCCTTCTCTTATTGCAAACCCCAAGGAGTCTCCAAAGCTATGCAAATGATGAGCTTACATACTCTTAGATGGTTTTAGTTCATTTCCTTACCTTCTTTACTTCACCTGATGCACTTAGCGGTTTGATTTAGACTCACAGCTAGTGTAGTCACTGATTTATTGAGAGGATAGAGACAAACACATTACAGAAACATGTTCACCTTGAAGCATTTGTTTTGCTTGTTCCAGTAATGTAAGAACAGAAAGCGGCTTGTAAGTCTTGATTACGTAATGAGCTAGAGGACTAAACAATACAACTAAGGGGACCTGTGTGTACATGCTTTAAAGCCTGGGAAAACCTGGATTTTTCAAAAATATTTCTCAGAAACGACTCAGATAATTTGCTTCAACAGGATAGTGTGTTGTGGTTTGACCGGATAAGATAGTTCCAGAAATGTAGAATATCCAAAACTATTATAACATGTGGAATATATCTGTTTGATTATGTGGGATTCCCTCAATAACATACGTTTTGGAGAGCTTTGAGGACTGAACTTCACACAGATGTGATCACTGCTTACCTTTTCTATTTAACTGTTTAAACTATGACACACTCAGACAATTGTGTTCAGTGTAGTTCTTGTGTAACGGCATCCTTTACCTTAAGTGGACATTCACATTGTTGACATTCACTCGCGTCTCAGGAAGCCTACGTGCTCTCAGTATTTCCTGTGACGCCTCAGCTCAGCCAAATAACAACCGGGACAGTTATGACATCACATTCTCAACACGAGTAATCGACTGTTCTAACTTGGTTTGTCCTTTGACCTCTGTCGTCGGGGGCTGCAGAATGAAAAGCAGTCGGATAGGATTTCCAGAAAAGGGGAGAAGAGGGTTTTTCTACAGAGTGTAGGCCAAATGCATCCTGGGAGAAACTAAATGACAAGAGTACTGAACAGGAACCAGCCTCCATGTCCTCTTTCCTTAGACAGTGCAGCTCCAAATCTGACTTCAGATCAGATAATTATATTAGAATAACTTCACCCCGTGCCCTCAGAGGAAGAGTCGTACGTACGTCAGCAGTGGTTTGATTGACGGACTGAAGAATGGCCCTGCAGAGGCCGGGTCATAAACACCTCCTCCAATAACAGTTGACTGAGTTTGAGGAAGCGTCGTGGGGCTTAGTGATCCAACTATTAAAGCTATACTTCACCCCCAAAATGAACATTAGTATATCCATTTCTCAACCACTGTTACCTTGAAGAAAACTTGTTGTGTCACTGCCTTCACGGTGAATGAAGAATCGAAAAAACGAGAAAATGTGAGTAATACTTCCAATGTGGAAGTGTTCTAAATTGTAAAGTGATGGATACAAATGAATGGATAAATAAGACTTTGTTGATTCTGCCCAATTATGTGAGAGTTGGTAAATAGAGGTTTTGATAGTTTTACTGTTTTTAAAAGGCGCACCCTATTACCTATTTTTTTAGTTTTCGTTCACCATCGAGCCATGCTATAAAATCCAAGTTTTCTTCCCAAATTCAAAGTAACACAAGGTCAGTAATTGCTAGAAATATGATCATTTTTAGTGGTGACATATTCCTTCAAGTAGCAAATGCAGGCATTTAAGTTTGGATGTAGTTTACAGTTTTAACGTCATTCATTTCGTCCCTTCTTTCAATGTTCCCTCCACCAGACCCGTCAGACGATGAACTACGTGGGCCAGCTGGCAGGCCAGGTGTTCGTCCAGGTCAAAGAGCTGTACCGAGGCCTGAACCCGGCCACCCTGTCCGGCTGCATCGACGTCATCGTAGTGAGGCAGCCCGATGGATCCCTGCAGTGCTCACCTTTCCATGTCCGCTTCGGGAAGATGGGAGTCCTCCGGTCCCTGGAGAAAGTGGTGAGGGGAGCCCCCTTTGATGTCGCATTTAGAGAGCTGTAACCTTTGAGAAGCTCTCTGATTGAAGTCAGCTGTTATTCTGCATGCAACGGAAATAAACTGCCAGAAGATTAGATGTGCACAAAATATAGCCATTTTTATATCTCTGTGATTGACTGTTATTTCAATGATTTTTTCAATTTGATGTACTTAGAATTTTATTTTTAAAAGAGTTATATTTTAACTACAGTTATCACCCCTCTGATTAATACATATCTTTAGTACTTTTAATACTATTTTATGCATGGCTGTTCTCTTTGTTGTTATGTACAGTATGTGAAGCACACTGAATTGCCTGTGTTTATAATGTGTTATAGAAATGAAACTGCTATTTCTAACGATCATTCTTTACCGCCAGGTGGACATGGAGATCAATGGAGAGCCAGTGAATCTACACATGAAGCTTGGGGACAATGGAGAAGCATTCTTTGTGCAAGAAACAGAAAATGATCAGGTTAGCATGACACAACTGCAGCAAACAGCTTTCTAAAAATGTGCTTGGTTCAAATGTAACATCTGTTAATTTGCGGACCTCAATTTGAAAAAGAAACATCAGTCTCCCGACCCCCTGAAGCCCAGACGCACCCATGTTTACAACCGAGAAGCGTTATCCAAACCATCCGTTTTCTCATACTGGAGTAGTTTGAATAAGCTGGCGTTGTGTTCATAGGTTGGAAAAGCAGCCAGGAATTCTTCCTATCCTTTTTGGCTGAACAGCATTCCTGTGTTCATCAGCAGGCAAATGAGTCCTCAGTGCAGGCTTTCTGACTGAAATCAACCTCTATGTCATAATGACTGAGGATCAACCGGGACTCCAGTGTCCTGACAAATAAATATGCTTTCAAGGAGAATATGTTTATTGGTGAATGGAGTTGTTCGAGAAATAGTTAAAGGGTGACAAGTTGAAAACATGTAGTAAGAAATACCTTCCTCTTTCTGAACATGGTTATACTTGTTTTACTTCTATGTGGCCCATGGGAGCCATTCAAAACTCAGCTTGAAATTCATGGAAACTCAACAGCTGTTTTTCCTCAGTTCTTGGAAAGCAGAGTTTTTCTCTCTCCATGACAGCCAAGTCACGTGTGCTGTCGTTATCGAAATATTTCTACACAATTGTCTACACGTGAGGATGTGTGTAGATACAAAGAGTCGGTGAACTACTGAGGCTGGGGGGCCGGCACCAGCAAGAGAAGCCCAGAGGGGTGTCAGATAGGGCTTCACGATTTTGGGAAAAAATCTAATTTGCGATTTTTCTGACAAATATTTCGATTGCGATTCAATTTGCGATATTTGTTTTTAAGCGACCCAACGGAAGTTTATTGTAAAATGCTGCCATATCTCCGGCTAGGAAGGTCGCATCAACATGCTCCCGTCTCTAGCACCCCCACAGCCCGAGCTACGAGTGAAAGAACTACACTTACATGAAACTTCTATTGAGTTGCTTTAAAGTCAAGCTTCAGTTTAAGATTCACCCTGTAAGAGATGTAAAACATTAGTGATAGGAGACATTACTAACCTGACTCAGATGGTTTGTTTCTCCAAACCAGCTAGGAGCCATTTGGAAAGGGCAGGCACTTTCAAAACATGATGGGCCACTTCTGATTGATTAACAACGGCTGGTACATGTGGAGCACAGCACTTCTGAATGGTGTGGATAACTGACACACAACAACAACAACAACAACAACAACAACAACAACAACAAAAATGTAAAAAAAAAAAGTAAAATAAAATCGCAGGCTTTTGATTTGATAATCGCATCATTTCAAATCGCATTTTCGATTTAAAATCGATTAATCGATTTTCACAGAAATGAATCTGTTTTGGATTGGCTGTTTAGTTTTTTGCTGGCTAGGAGTCTCCCTCACAGCAGAAGTGGTTGCAAACAGTTTGGCATTGTTTACACACCTCGACTCCAACCAAAACAAAGCAAAACACTAAGAGTAGAGTCGTGTTTTAGTGGGAGTTGTTCCAAAATTCCAAAATCTAGTTTTAACCTGCTTCCAGAAACTGTAAGGGTGAATGCAAGAGAAGACATTTTGGATGTGGGATTTAATTTTTCATTGTTTAAATAAGAAAATAATATTTACTTTTCACTTTTAGTTTAGCGTGGATGTGACAAACAGATTTTTAATGATAATATTCTGTCCATCGTGTTGCTGTTTGGTGTTTTCAAATCTAGTACCAATCCTATTGTAGTGTCAAAGATATGAAATGATGCCTTTTTTGGCCATAATGTGACTTCTCGCAGGAAGTGGTTCCCTCCTACCTGGCCACCTCTCCCATCTTGTCGGACGGGGCCCTCCTGATGAGCTCCTCCCTGCTGGGGAATGGCTCCGGGCCCCCCATACAGACACTGGGCTCCACGGGGGCCGCTGGGGAGACTGGCAATGGGATGATGAAGAAGAGGAGGAAGAGAAGGAGGAAGGTCCGGGTGGACAGTGTGAGGAGGGAGGACAGTGGGGACTACTCCGAGGACGAGGACATGTTTACCATAGACATCAGTTCCGATGAAATGACGGGGATAGGGAGCAACAGGTGAGAACATGTGCAGAGAGGTAAAGGGAAAAAGGGAATGGGAGGAAAAAAGGAATTAAAGGGGGCGTATTAAGCTCAATTTCAGGTTCATAAACAGCTTGAAGATGTCCCGCCCCTTCGCCTATCACCCACTATGTGTTGGAGCTCTAGCCAATAGAAGAGTGTAACATAGTGATGTCACTATATTCCCGAAGTAAACAAAGGAGTCATATGGAGGTGTTTTAGGCAGGGGGGGAATGTGTGGGGGAGAAACTCCCTCTGGGGGGAACACAGGGATTTAAGCCTTAGCGAAACTTATGACACAGTACACACACTACAGGAAAGGGAACACTCCAACAATCATAATAGGGCCCCTTTAAAAAAGTTTTATCACTTAAATTAGCTTTGAGAGCAGCTGTAAGAGAATCAGAGTCTGGCAGGAAAGAATAAACAGACCCCAGTGACTGTAGTGGAAAAGCCTACACACACACACACACACACACACACACACACACACACACACACACACACACACACACACACACACACACACACACACACACACACACACACACAGATAAGTGATAAGACACTCAAGAACATAAGGGAACCACTTCTCCGGCCGTGGAAAAACAAAAGAGCTTTGCATTTGAAATGAGAAACTATCCTTACTGTGTTTGTTGTTGTTAAGGAATGTTGCATGTACATACAGTATGCCAACATCCAGCTATAAGAGCTAATAAGTCATTCCCTATTTTGGTATTATGAAGTCAAAGAAAAACTAATATTATATTAATAAAGCGTTGTAGCTACAAGAGGTGTGTTTTAAGTCCAGGCTTGATCTCTGAGGGTCTGGGTTTAAAGTGAAAGCAAAATGACATAGGCTACTGTTACTGTGACAAAGTAGAAGATACACTACATTATTAAATAAAAAAGCACATTTGTGTTATTCAGTGATATATTTACAGTATTTGTTTGTGTGTTCAGGACTTCTCGGGACGTTTTAAGAGATGAGACGACAGTTGCCCCCGGCAGCTCTTTCAAACAGTCTGGCATCTACACTCGCTCAGATGGAGACTGGAGCCCCATTCAGAGGTGCTTCGCTCACTCATGATGACACCTACATGTCATTATTCAGAAGAAACAGCTCTGTAACTCACGGTGTATCCTCTTTTCTTCACACAGTCCTGGAAACTCTCGTCCCATTTCTCCCAAGAGCGACTCTGAGCTATTGACCAAGCCGTCAGACGCAGCCAATCAGGATCCAGCCATGCATTGGGCGTGGGGAGAGCTCCCGCAGGCTGCCAAGGTAACTGAGAATGTAAACTGTTCATGCACAGAAAGAACAACTGTTTTTATTTGTAGTCATTTAGTGTCATCCTCTATCCTGCTTTTCTAGCCGTCTTTCCTCCAAGAGAAACCCAACCATCCGTCAGTTTGCCCGGTAACCATCCCAGTCTCTGAAAGCACACACTTCCGCGTGATAACTCATGAGATGGAACAGAGTGGACCCTGCGCTGAAATATCAGCACTCACCCTGATGATGCCACAGGAGACGAATGGGGACACAGTTGGGATGGAGGCCATGACAGCCGGAGGTGTAGCAGCTCAGATGTCTGAAATGGAGGAGACGATGCCTCTCCCACCGGGAAAAAACGACTCTCCATCAAAGAGAAAAGGTGACAGCTTGAAGGGCAACAGCACAGTAAAATATTCCATTCATCCTGAGCTTTAGGCTGTCAACAGCAGTTCAGTTTTTTGTTCTGCACAGCTCAAGGTCATTTAGTTATTGGTGTTAAAATCACACAAAAATTGACTGTTTTTAGATAATATTTTCTGGATAACCCAATATCATTTCATGCATTGTATCAGGCTGAGCTACAGCGAAAAATAAACTGGAATCTAAATGGCTGTAAAAAAACAAGAATGTATTGTTTTTGAGGGTCAAAATGACACATTTTGAGGACATGCTCTCCTAAATGAAATCAACCATACTGCCTATTTTTCTTGTTGATGAAGCTAATCATGAACTTTTCTGCATATTATGAAGAGAACGCTTCCCCACTCCGGAAATGGCAAGAAATATTGCTGCTAAAAGTGAAGAATAATTGTACCCGTGACTGAGTTAAAATAAGCCCCCCCCCAAAAAAAAAAGAAAAATAGTTTCATGGATGAACCCAAGCAAGTACTATATTATTTTTAATTGATTTGTACCTCTGTTGCAGACAAGAGAAGCTGCCATCTTGGGTCTGATGGGATTTACCTGGATGACATCACAGACCTCGAGCCTGAAGTGGCGGCCCTTTATTTCCCTAAGAGGTACGTAGAAGCACGCAAACACACAGCCATAACTTAAACTCAATCAGAGACATCGGTATAGCGGAGCTTATCAATACTTCATGGGTCTTTTCTCCGCTGTAGTGACGGTGTTGTGGCGGTGCGCAGCGTCTCAGACCCCGGCCCCCACGGCAGCAGCATGTCCCCACAGTCCCTCAGCTCAGGGGGGGACAGCGGAGTGGACAGCTACTGCGACCCTTTGGCGGACATGCCAACTATCACCATCTCTCTGTGTGGAGGACTCAATGACAACAGGGAGATCACTAATGGTAGGATTCCGACACAGCAGGTGTCACACATTTTTTTTAAATAAGCTGTGGAAAACTGAACATGCAATATGTGTGTGATTACAGAGCGGTTCCACGAGAAAATGATCTCTTACCAGCAGTTTTCGGAAAACCCCTCCATCATCGACGACCCCAACTTGGTCGTGAAAATTGTCTCCAAGTAAGACTTCCCCCTGCTTCAGTGACGAAACGTGTGTGTAAATATAGTAAAACAACAAGCTATAAGCAGTTTACGGTGCACTACGTCGTATGGATTGAACTGCCAGGTATTACAGCAAAGACTGCAGGGTGTGCAGGATTGTTTGAGGTTTTTTGCAAAGACATCTGGCTGCCAACGTTTTTTGCTTCGGTAATGAAATGGATAAAAATATATTCTGTTTTCTCCTTCAGATACTATAATTGGAGCTCTGCGGCTCCACTTATGCTGGCTTTGCAGGCCTTTCAGAAACCGCTGCCAAAGGTAGGAATTTGATATAGGGCACAGACACTTATGACTCAGGTGGTTGTGTTACATGAATACCACTCCCCCTTTTGACTGAAACGGGTACTGCATGCTGCATACGTGTATGCCTATGCAACTATACTACTAATGTTACGATCAAAACATTGCATAGTTCCTAATGTGGGATTTATAAACCTAACAACATAAACCCTATGTTATCTACGTCTTTATGTTGTGTGATTAACATCCAATGCATTTCCTTAAACTTTGTCTCTTCTGTGTTCCCCTCCTTCCCCTCCCCTTGTTGCATCCATGCATTAGTCTTCTTGCCTAAGTTATATCCACTCCGCCTTTGAGTTTCTTCTCTGTTGTCTGACTGGTGTGCTTGGCTACAGCTCTGTATGTCAGAAACAGCTCTCTGTGTTGCATGGTTTTAAATTAGATTCATTTCCCCCCATTCCAACCGCAGACACATTGCTGCTTCTGCGTTACTGTTTTTGATTTACTGGTCTGCTTTGGCTTACGTTTTATTTTTAAGCGTGTTTTTTTTTACCATGTTGTGTTGTGGTTGTTTTGGGGCTGTGTGTGATCCTCTCCAGGTTGCAGTGGAGAACATTATGAAGGAGAAGATGCCAAAGAAAGGAGGGAGGTGGTGGTTCTCCTGGCGAGGAAGAAACAGCAGCGCCAAATCTGTAATTTCTTCTAATCTCCTTTATGATTAAGTTGACCTTTTTTCCAACAATATTTGTATCGATTTTAAAAGAACATTAACCCTTGTTCTCCTCGTACAGGATTCTCTGAACGTGGGGGCCTGCGGTTATGATGAGCAGGACGGGAAAATGTCTAGCAGGTGAGAGTCCAGCAAACGATACAAGACAAAGAATAAATCCTCTAAATCAGGGAAAGATTGAACATCCCTTGACACACTGTCCACCTGTCTAACGCCAGACACAAAGAAGACTCTTCCTCCAGTGATGAAGACCACAGGGCAGCCTTACAGAGCTCTGCACCTGGCCAATCAGAGCCAGGCCTTACACCAGGAGGCGTGTCTTATAAGAAAACACTCAGACTCACATCAGAGCAGCTGGTGAGTGCAGACATTGACATTTTTTTTTGTTATTAATTGTTACCTCCATGTATTATATCTAGTTTGTCTCTCTCTCTCTCCCTCACACACACACACACACACACACACACACACACACACACACACACACACACACACACACACACACACACACACACACACACACACACACACACACACAGCTGTCCCTCCAGCTGCAGGACGGTCCTAACGATGTTGTGTTCAGCGTGACCACTCAGTACCAGGGGACGTGTCGCTGTCAGGGAACCATCTACCTCTGGAACTGGGACGACAAGATCATTATCTCTGACATAGATGGAACCATCACCAGGTCAGTGATACATAAGCATAGTGTATGAATACATACATATAGAAACACTTTTACAGCTACCTCCACAACACAGTTCAGATTAGTTTGGATATAAACACATCATCTGAAAGTCCAAATATATCCAATTTTACAGAAACACAGTCATGTATCGATGAACAAAGAAAAAACAGATAATAAAATCACCTCTTGGTCCACTATAGCCAAAGTGAGTTCATATTTTATGGCATTTATAAAATGTAGGGAACATGATTCAACCTGTTAATTACTTTTAAAGAGTTATTTTACATGAGGACGACACAGAAGTCCAGTCAGGTACGGATGAGAAACTGCCTGTTCAAAGCAATATCTGTGCATAGAACTTCTGACATGATTTATTTTGGATGTACATTTTTTTTTAATAATAAGCAAAAGCCTTTTACACAAGTCTTGTGTCTTATTGTGTTTGTCTCCAGGTCGGACACACTGGGTCACATCCTGCCCACACTGGGGAAGGACTGGACCCACCAGGGCATTGCACAGCTCTACCACAAAGTCAGCCAGTAAGAATTACGTTACTGTCATAATGTCAGATCTTGATTTCCTTGATTTGTTTGGATCAAAGCAAAGAATAAAACGTACATATAGTTTAAAGTTACGTATATATTTTATACTAGAAATGCCAAAACCAAGCTCTCGAAAGGAAAACAAGTGATCATTATTAATACACATGCTTATTCTCTCTGTTTCCTCTCTCACTCTGTCAGAAATGGCTACAAGTTCCTGTACTGTTCCGCTCGAGCTATCGGCATGGCTGACATGACCAGAGGTTACCTCCACTGGGTCAACGAGAGAGGCACCATGCTTCCTATTGGCCCCGTCCTCCTCAGCCCCAGCAGCCTCTTCTCAGCTCTGCACAGGTCTCACATACATAAAGACACAATCAATCTATAGTCATGTCACCATTTGTAAGAAGGTAAAGAACACTCGAGGGTTGTTGAACTGTGATTTGTGATTGTGTGTGACAGGGAGGTGATCGAGAAGAAACCCGAGAAATTTAAGGTGGAGTGTCTCAACGATATCAAGAACCTCTTCTACCCCAACACCCAGCCTTTCTATGCAGCGTTTGGCAACAGACCAACGGTACACACACTTTATATAAAACTCATAAATCATTTAAAGGTTATCCGAGGTTTGATATTTTTGCACGGTGTATTATAGATGTAAATCTAATTGTCCTTTATTTTCGCAGGATGTATATTCCTATAAAGAAGTCGGGGTGCCACTGAACAGGATTTTCACCGTTAACCCAAAAGGCGAGCTAGTGCAGGAGCATGCCAAGACCAACATCTCATCGTAAGTCCCATTTTCACGATATATATTCTAACATCTAAATGACTCCAGAAAAAGATCTCACTATGCGTCTTCCTCTCTTCAGGTACGTGCGTCTGGGTGAGGTGGTGGACCACGTGTTCCCCCTGAAGATGCGATCCTCCTCCTCAGACTTCCCCTGCTCGGACACCTACAGCCACTTCACCTACTGGAGGCAGCAGCTCCCCCGGGTGGAGCCTCAGGGCACTACGCCTCCACAGAGCCCGCTCCCCAGCAGCTGACCGCCCGTGGCCCGCTGAGCACTGACATGTGTGTGATTTTATTTTTTTGTAGAAGATGGAGCACTTTGAGGGCACATCAGGGGCCACTTGTTAAATCTGCTGTGAAAACTCTTATAATGAACAAGATGGATCTAAGCGCACTTTTATGAGAAAGATGGCCTCCGTAGCTTTCTGACTAGTTGTATGTATATGAGAAATGATAGTAATTTATTCAGGCAGCTTAGTACATATATCATTTTCGAGTGAGTGTTGATATTCTTTCAGTAGCTAGACCTTGAGGTATGTATGTGGAGAGTGACATAATGTATTTATGGCATCAAACAGAACAAAGCCACTCTGTTGCCACAGCAGAGAGTGAGTTATTTCAACTTGTGCCAAATAGTAGATGCAGAATTTATTTTCTTACTCTGAAGATTGAGACTGTTACAGATCCTCAGCATGGAAATGCAGAGATATATATATATATATACATGCATGCTGATACTTACTTTAATGCAACATATAATGTTATCTATTATTTTTGTTTAAAAGAAATCAGTCAAGTCAGGCTTAGGTGTTTTTGAAAGGAGACACTACAGGAAAAACATTTCAATTAATGGATATCATAATGAAACATCCCATCCAAGTTTTCAGTATTATGAGTTTTCTGAAAAGTTTAAATATGCAAATGGCACATTATCCAATGGTGGAATTTTGTGGATTTAGAAGACATGTGCAGATGAAAATAGACAAAATGAAGATAAACATTTAAATGTGTATTTAGGATTTTCTTTCCAAAAATGTCATAGCAAAAGGTAATGTAAGCTAAATAGCCCAAACTCTAAAGGTTTTGCCTGTAGTGTCCAGCCTTCAGAAGTATACCAGAGCACAATGAAAAAATGAATGAATGTAACTGTAACTTGACTTATCCTGACAGAGGTCATGTTATGAATATGGTTTTAAAATGAATATGTATGGTTGAAGCAAAGTGACTAGACAGGAAAACAAAAAGCACAACCCTTTTAATGGTCGAAATAACAATTGTCTTTTTCCTCCAAAAAAGAAAATCAAGAGTATCTGTGAGAAGAATCATTTTTATTTTTCTATTGAAATCACAGTGATCACATTTATGGTGACCTTCACCAAACACCCATAAATGTATCCGGTCACAGATAACAAAACAAGTCTATGTTACTGTCACTGGTACCTCATGTTATTCCATACATGCCATTAAGTATATCTTATTTATTCATCTGATTACATACTGATATAATCCATAACCCATTGTTTTTAATACAAAACCCAAGTCTGGAAACCCTCAGACAATTGAAAAGTGATCCTTAATTCTTACATAATACCACAGATAACCTGAGGTCATATACAGTACATGAGCAGGAGCTGTAATCATGTTGACCTGCCTTGTGTGTCAGTGAACACCTCCACAGTATTGCCATATTGAGTAAGTGAGTTTGTAATGCTTTATTATTCTTTCTGTGAAAGAGCTAAAAAGAAAAGCCTCAAAACGTATTATATTTACCTTGACTGTGAACAAAATGATCAATAATTTGTTCATGTACAAATGAACCTCCGTACTTTCTCTTGACCGGTTCACTGTTAAATGTAATTTAACTCAATAAAAAAGCCTTGGTACAGCAGCGAGTGTGTGTGTCAAACTTTCTGCAGGACAACTATTCTTTCAGATGAGTACAGCGGTGGGAGAAGTATTCAGATGCTTTTCTTAAGTAAAAGTTGTAACAGAGTGAAAATACTGTATTCAAATATCCTGCATTCAGAACCTCAGTTGAGTTAACCTAGTACTGCTAAGTTGGATTCATTTTTATGTTGCATTTCCCTTACTCCTTTACTTACTGTTTGGTAGAAATATCTGAAGCAATGCATCATGTTCTGTAAGTCATCATATCTTTGAAGCGTCATAGTAAGCTAGGGTCATTTCCTCAACACATAAAATAGCATTTAGTCTTTCCATTTATCAAAACTATTCAAGTGAAGTGGGGCCATTCACATCATCAATTCAAAACACCTTTGTTTATACCTGATGTTTTTGTATTTTAATTATTTGAGTATTATATGGACTGCCTTTTAAAGGAAACAATTAAAATGTTGAAATAATTAAAAGAAAGAATAATCACCACATTTCGAAAATGATGGAAAACTCATCTGAAAAGTAGTTTGACACATGTACCAGAGGTCAATATTGGCTCCGAGAGGTCGTTAAGAAAGTATACAAAAATGATCATGTCAAATAGGCCTTAATGCACCATAAATGTGTACTGAAGAACATTATAACACTGGTAAAAGTCGAATTTCAGGCTGCTGAAAATAGTAATCTGAACAGGCCTCATCCTTAATGAGTCCTTGAGCAAAAAAAAGAGAGACTAGCACAGAAACACTAATTGTTATTTTTGCCTAAATTGTGCACTACACACTTTATTTAAACCTAAGACATATAGCACTTTTCCACTCTCGTGACCCCTCAAATGACTTTGACATAAGTCAAGCTGAACAGCAGGATACACACATTCATATAGTGCATGCACCTGCTAAGGGAGAAGAAGATTAACACTCGCACTGATCGCTAGGCAATCAGGAGCAAGTTACGGGTTCATTATCTTTGTCTCTTAGAGTTCAGGAGAGCCCAACAATGATGGAAATGAAGACTGTCCACGCCAACTACGGTTTTGATTACACATGGAATGATTTCCATTATTATTCTTGACTCAGTTTGTGCATCTTGCATAGCTTGTGTTTGGCAATTGAGATATGACATCTTATTGAACCAGGTCACTGTTCAGCTGTTACTGTGTTAACGTGCCTTTGGCCACAAGACACAGATGTACACTTACTGTGAATGAAAGTCCTTGTTGTGCTTGTGATATATGCAACATAATGGTTCACTTTATTAAGGAAACAATGCATTATTCATACACTTTGACGGTACATTTCCCTTTTGAAGCCAGTCTCCTTAACTGTTGCTGAACAGCAGACAGTGCAGCCTCTAAGAAGTTATAGAAAAGTGCTGAATGTTTCAAATGTAGCTTAGTAGTAATTTAGCATCTGGGTACAAGGCTTTGCTGGTGTGACATTAAAAAAGTCAAAAGAGTCAGTCTGGATTGCAGTTTTTTTACACGAGGCACATAATTTCTCTTTATTCTGAGAACAACCCTGTCTCCTAAAAATTACGGTCTCACAGAACTTAATTGCATTCTCAATTACGTGCCAATCCCATTATTTTCTACATATCTTCTAGAAACATATTTTCTCCCACGTTACGTTTCTTATGAACGTATCTTAAATACGTTTATTTTCTACATATCTTTGCCGTTTATTGTCTTGCTTATAATAATGACAATAGTCATCTATAAATATAATTTTAGAGCACACATTTGAAATCAGTAGGCGAGGCTGTAATTTCGCCAACTGTTACTCTCATGAGCGAGGCAGAAAATAATAGTTTTAACATGCCAAAAAGCTGCTGTGTCGTTTATTGCACCTCAAACATTAAAACAAATCCAGAGTTACGTGTTTCTGTACTTCCTCTAAGAAGAAAGGACAGTAACAGAAGATCTCTGTGGCTTCAGTCTTGATCGCCGTTCAAATTACAGCGTTGGTTTCCCCAAAAGTGGGCGGGGCTGGAAAGTGACGTAGATTTTACTCTCATCTATTATTCAAAACCATTCTATTTATTCTAATGTAAATTACATGCCTGTGTTTTATCTTTTTATTTATTTATTTGTTTTGCATCTTTAACTGGGAATGTTTTCATGTTCGGTGATTGGATGTTTTAGCCGCAATGCACGTTGGGATATGGTGTTAATGCATATGATATCCGAAAAAAAATTCAGTTTAGGATTAGACACTACACTACCCATAATCCCTAGCTATCATTTGGGACTACAGTCGCGTTGACAAACCCCGTGATTAATCTTCAAGCTCTGGGGTTGGATGTTGGAGTGGCCTCGCG